AATTTTTACACTTTTTTTTGGATAAGATTGAGGCTGTTAGAGCTAACATTTCTCTCCCATCTACTTTTTTATCCATTTCCACTGAGTGCTCTGCTGTTTTTAATCAGTTTGAGCCGGTGTCTCTGGCCTCATTGAGAGAGATCATTGTTAAAATGAAATCATCCTCATGCGGCATGGATATTGTTCCTCCTTGTCTTCTAAAAGATTCATTTGAAACTATTGGTCCTACAATTCTTGCAATTATTAATAGTAGCCTGGCCTCGGGAGTTGTACCTAAGTCTTTTAAACATGCAACAGTGGAACCAGTAATCAAGAAATCTAATTTGGATTCATCAGTTTTTGGTCATTTTAGACCCATCTCAAAATTTCAGTTTCTTTCCAAACTACTGGAGAAGGTTGTATTTGGACAATTGAATTCATTTCTAGATCTACATGGTATTCACACAGTGTTTTAATCAGGTTTTAAATCTTTACATAGTACAGAAACTGCACTGTTGAAGGTTTTTAATGACTTGTTACTTGCTACTGACTCAGGGGACTGTGCGATTTTAATTCTACTAGACCTTTCGGCTGCATTTGATACTGTAGACGACAACACACAACATTAACACAAAACACAAAATTACTAAAACTAACTAAAATTCAAATAAAACTAAAATAACAGTAATAATAGTATACAATTATACTAAATAATAGTAAAATAGAAAATAATAATAGTACTTAAATGATACTAAAACACTGGTATAGGCTAAAATGCATTTACAACTTAAAGTCTAAACTGAGAAACAACATGAAGAGATTTAAAAGGAGACATTTAATGTAAAACATATATTTTGCCATATTAGAATTAGATATAATACATATTCTAACCTTTACAATCAAAACCCCCTCAGCAGTCCCCTCAGCAGTCCCCCAGATCACTGGCATTAATTAAGACAGAACCACAAGCGCATTAAAGCAGAACTCAATGAAGCGGCTCAAATAATACTGTGGACATACTGGACAGAAACCCCTACACAGGCACATTTACATGAACCACAACAGTTCATTAAGAGGCTTCTGAAAGTGATACTGCAGGTGTCATGCACTGCATTTCCCATGAGCTGACATTTAGAAATAAAAAAATAAAACACACTAAAAATAACTTATAAGGGTAGTCCAAAAGATGGACATAAATTTTATGTTAAATTAAAATGTTTCAGTGTTGTTATTGTTAAATAAAAGTATTAAAAGTATTAAGCTTATATGGTACACGAAAGCGGGAACACATCACCCCCGTTCTTGCCTCTCTTCACTGGTTACCTGTCCATTTTAGGATTCAGTTTAAGATTTTGGTATTTGTTTTTAAATCTCTTAATGGTTTAGCACCTAAATATCTTTCCGACTTGATCAAGCTATATGCTCCGTTAAGAGCACTTAGGTCTGCTGACCATTTGCTTTTAGTTGTCCCACGGGTAAAGTTGAAGAGCAGGGGTGACCGAGCATTTGCAGTGGTGGCCCCAAAGCTCTGTAACAGTTTGCCCCTATACATTAGACAGGCTCAAACACTTGCGGTTTATAAATCTAGCCTAAAAACTTACTTCTATAATCTGGCATTTGATGCTACATGAGAGCTGCTTTCTTTTATTGTCTTTCATAAACCCATAATTCCGGGTTTATATCTTGACCCCTCCCCCCCCATAAATTCTGTCTTTTGTTCCCACTACAGAATAAAAAGCAGACTGAACCTCCTCCCACCATCTGCACAACTCCAACTTCACTTTCTTGGCACAAGTATGCTTCTACCATGAAAACTTCTCAATTTGTAATTTTATTTAAGCAAAGTCCTCTGCTTGTCACTGTCTTCTCTCGCTGCCACAGGGGACTGTCAATGAACTCGAAACCGTGGGATGGAAAGCAGCAGCAAACGGTGGGAGCAATCGGACAGCTGATGAAATGCTGATCGCAAAAATGGAGAGAATATGTGGCTGGTGTGGAGCAGACTGAAGTGTAAAAATAAAACTGTAGAGGCTGCATGTGCTGAAAACCCGGCCAGGCTTCACACCGTCTCATTAAGAGTTTCAGACGGCCGCAGTTTCTACAAACACATTTCTCAAAATGTTCACACTTCCCTAAGATATTGATCCGCTGTTTCATAGCATGACTGTTGCTTTCTCTAGTGAAAGCGTGAGCTGACAGAGGGTGATTTTAATGAGAAAGCTTTGTTACACACAGAATACTGCTGGCTGGAGATCATTACCAAAGGCAATACAGTGTAAATGTGGTCAAATGAGAGGTGAGTGACAGGGTAAAAAAAACTGATCTCCAGACATTATAACACTAGAATATCTGCAGACAGAAGCACTCACAAACACACATGCTGCGTATAGAATATCATACTACTGAACAATAGTAAGTAATACGTTTACTATTTCTGCAGTATTTTGTGCACAGTATGCAACATTTCCTTGACAAATGAATTTGATATTAGTGGTATTAACCCCATATCAGTTAAATTAAATCTCCTTTTTGACTTATATGATTGGACTGAAAAATGTCACAGAATTTTTACACGAAATCGAATTAAAATGTGCAATAACCATTTTTATAAACACATTTGTGTGTGATAAGGTCAAGTGACATACTACTGTTTGAAATTGTTATCTTAGTTTAAGGCATATTAATTCAGATACTTAAAAAAATCTATGCAGTATATACACTAAAAAATAGAATTAAAGTTGTACATGAAAGATTGTTGGAGTATGTTTTACAAGAAAATACTTTTTTAGTCTTTCTACTTCAAAATTTCATGTTTAATTCAATGCGTTTCTTTGCCGTTTCTTTGTAATTATTTATGACATTTATTAGCGATTTCTGAGAAAAACTTGTTTCACCACCAGGTTTTTTTTTTTTTTTTTAAGTGTTGCAGGGTTATTATTGTTAGCTAAAACTAAAACCACTAAAAACCCATATTCATTACTTGAAATAAAATAAACATTAACTGAAATAAAATATATATTTTTTTAATTCTTAAAATAATTTCAGTTAGTTGCCAAGGCAACGTCTCATTTTCATTTAGTTTAAGTTGAAGTACTAAAATAACTAAAACTTAATAAACTAAAGCTTAAAAAAACTATAGACATTAAAAATAAACCAAAAAAATATCAAAATGACAACACACAACATTAACACAAAACACAAAATTACTAAAACTAACTAAAATTCAAATAAAACTAAAATAACAGTAATAATAGTATACAATTATACTAAATAATAGTAAAATAGAAAATAATAATAGTACTTAAATGATACTAAAACACTGGTATAGGCTAAAATGCATTTACAACTTAAAGTCTAAACTGAGAAACAACATGAAGAGATTTAAAAGGAGACATTTAATGTAAAACATATATTTTGCCATATTAGAATTAGATATAATACATATTCTAACCTTTACAATCAAAACCCCCTCAGCAGTCCCCTCAGCAGTCCCCCAGATCACTGGCATTAATTAAGACAGAACCACAAGCGCATTAAAGCAGAACTCAATGAAGCGGCTCAAATAATACTGTGGACATACTGGACAGAAACCCCTACACAGGCACATTTACATGAACCACAACAGTTCATTAAGAGGCTTCTGAAAGTGATACTGCAGGTGTCATGCACTGCATTTCCCATGAGCTGACATTTAGAAATAAAAAAATAAAACACACTAAAAATAACTTATAAGGGTAGTCCAAAAGATGGACATAAATTTTATGTTAAATTAAAATGTTTCAGTGTTGTTATTGTTAAATAAAAGTATTAAAAGTATTAAGCTTATATGCTCAGGACCTCAGACTGGGCCGAAGGTTTACCTTCCAACAAGACAATGACCCTAAGCACACAGCTAAAATAACGAAGGAGTGGCTTCACAACAACTCTGTGACTGTTCTTGAATGGCCCAGCCAGAGCCCTGACTTAAACCCAATTGAGCATCTCTGGAGAGACCTAAATATGGCTGTCCACCAACGTTTACCATCCCACCTGACAGAACTGGAGAGGATCTGCAAGGAGGAATGGCGGAGGATCCCCAAATCCAGGTGTGAATAACTTGTTGCATCTTTCCCAAAAAGACTCATGGGTGTATTAGATCAAAAGGGTGCTTCTACTAAATACTGAGCAAAGGGTCTGAATACTTAGGACCATTTGATATTTCAGTTTTTCTTTTTTAATAAATCTGCAAAAATGTCAACAATTCTGTGTTTTTCTGTCAATATGGGGTGCTGTGTGTACATTAATGAGGAAAAAAAATTAACTTAAATGATTTTAGCAAATGGCTGCAATATAACAAAGAGTGAAAAATTTAAGGGGGTCTGAATACTTTCCGTACCCACTGTATATATATATGTGTGTGTATATATATATATATATATATATATATAAACTTAAATGTTGCCTTGGCAACTTATTGAAAAAGTTTAATATTAAAATATCATAAATTAAAGATAAATATAAATATTTTTAAAAAAAAATGTGAAAAGTACATAAAATGACAAACTAAAATGAAAATAAAAACTGAAAATATAAAAGCTAATTAAATATATTAATAAATGTTACAATAGTGTATAAATAACATATAAATAATATTTAGAAAATGTTTATAAAGATCAACTTTGTTAGATGCAAAAGTTAATCTAAATGTAAAAATAGGCAGAAATTAGCATGCACAATTATCCAATATCAACCAATACTAATTTAAAATCATTAATATCAGCCGATGACCACTAGGGTACATTTTTAATCACTAACTAGAAAGATACTGTAAATACTTTGATGAAACACCAGTTAACGCACACATGAATGCATATCGAATCAGCTGTAAGTGGGAACTTCCCAGGAGCAGTGTGTGATCACACATATGTGAACTGAAATCTGGGTTGTGGAAATCAAATCAAACACAGAAAATATATCACATACAACTACAGCAAAAATATGGAAGGAATAACAACTTTTATGTCTCAGTTAAATTATTTTACTGTCAGATTTGGAAACACAGTTATTGCAACTTACATCCTCCCAGAATATGGGGTTTTGTTCGTAGCCTCCCACAGAAAGAGCGTCACCTTGGAGACGGAGGTAGACTGACGCATCATGGTCCCTGACGTTGGGCATATTCTAGAAAAAAAAGACATTTTAGAATTTAAAAACAAGTTCACATCATAAGTTCAAATATCAACATTTCAAAAGAAAACTAGCTCATTATGTTCATGTATGACAAGGCTTTCGTAGCAGCCATATGGTGCTTTACTAAACAACAACATGACTCCATCTCACCACATGCTGATATGAGCAGACTACCATTCAAACGCTTGGAAGAATTAAGGTTTTTAAATGTTTTTGAAAGAAGACTCTTATTTCCACTAAGGTTGCATTTATTTAATTAAAAATACAGTAAATACAGTAATATTGTGAAATATTATTACAATTTAAATGAACTGTTTTCTATTTGAAACTAATGCAATTTATTTCTGTGATGCAAAGCTGAATCATCTCGCAGTTCAGTTTTTTCCGCCACAGAATAATAAATAAGATAATTGTGACTTTTTTATATCTCATTATTCTGTTTTTTTTTTCTCAGAATTGCGAGAAAAAAACATTTGACAAAACAAGAAAAAACGATTAAAATAATAAGTCAGACTTAAATTATAAGTTACCTATATATTTTTATCCCATGGCAGAAACAAGCTTTTTTTACTGTATTTTTCAAACAAATAAATGTGGCCTTGGTGAGCATAAGAGGCTTCTTAAAAAAATTGTTTTAAAACTTAATTATTTCAAACTTTTGATTATTAGTTTTTGTCCACTGTTTATTTTAATGCTGATTTTAAAAAGGGGGGTTGATATTTATTGCTCAGTTTCACAGACCCTCCAGGAGCAAAAAAGTCCATCAGCTTCACTAGCACATCATGTGAATGACAAACATCTCTTCAGTTTCAGTGATGACTAGCTGGCCTCTCTGTGAGGAGTAACACGGCTATCATCGACTATGCATCAAATTACAAGCTCTCTCTCTCACACACACACACACACACAGTGTTGCATAATCCACAGAGGGGCTGTGAGTTAAGTGCTTATGCCACAGCCGCTGTTGTGTTTTGCCACTGCAGTGTAAAATGAATAGAGCAAGACAACCCCATAGAAAACAGACCAAGAAAACAGCTTAAAAACAGACCAAGAGCAAAAAAAAAAAGTGAAAGAGGGACAGACTCAACACAGCAGGAAGAACCCACTGTGACGAGTGGGGCGGGGCCGAGAGCCGTGGGAACGGAGCGAGGCCGGTGGAGTAATTGATAATGAGCAACACCTGCACCACTCACCGGTCTCGAGTCTCACGGAGGAGCTCCGGAAGGATAAAAGGGAGGAGTGGGGCTGCCGCTTTACTTTCGTTTTGTGTTTGTTTATTTGATTAAAGTTTTGTTTAAGTGTTCGCCGGTTCCCGCCTCCTTCTTCCCGTGACTACGAACGTTGTTACACCCACTAAGAATGAAGTGCATCTACTGATGATGACCAATTCACTAATGGAATTGCAGACATCAAGTAACCACACAAATGCAGTGACAAAATTAGTGCTGAATTAAATTTTGGTCGGTTTGAGTGCTAGGTTGAGGAAAACGGTGCAGACAACTACAGTCTAGCATACTTTACTGGGAGTGTACAGCATCACTGCGATTCAGACACTTGAGATGACCAAATAAAACAGCATTTGAACTTCATTTGATGAATATCAGATGCCATGATGTGTAGAAAATATAGTTTGGTTTTTACTTGCTCTGCCATTTTTTATTGGCCCCACTAAAACAGGATAAATTTTTAGCAACATATTTTAGTTTTAAATATTATTAAATATTATTCTTTTTAACATGCAACAGGATTCTTTGATGAATAAAAAGTTAAAGAGAACAACATTTATTCAAAATAGAAATCTTTTGTAACAATATACACTACCGTTCAAAAGTTTGGGTTCAGAACTTTTTTTCATTGTTTTTTTTGAAAAAAAAATTATACTTTTATTCAGCAAGGACATTAAATTGATTAAAAAAAAAGTGATAGTAGAAACTTTCTATTTTTAATAAATGCTGTTCTTTTTAACTTTTTATTCCAACATGGATAATAAATCAGCATATTAAAATGATTTCTGAAGGATCATGTGACTCTGAGGACTGGAATAATGGCTGATGAAAATTCAGGTTTACATCACAGAAATAAATTATATTTTAAAGTATATTGAAATATGTTATTTTAAACTGCAATAATATTTCACAATATCTTTTTTTTTCAGTATTTTTGATCAAATAAATGCAGCCAGGATGAGCATAAAATACTTTTTTCAAAAATATAAAAAAATGAATGGTAGTGAAAATGTGAAAGTGCTGTGACTGTAAAAAGGCAGTTTATGATTAGTTGTCTTTTGCTAAATAACTTGCTTTAATTGTCGAGTACCTCATTGTTTCACCCTGTTAAGCTTAGGAACCCAGGTGGTAAGGTGGTACTTACCCTGCGCTAACCCTGGTCTTTATCCGAATGTTGGGTTAAATGTAGTGTGAAAAATGTTTGCGTGTACAGATTGGGTTAAGCAGTCAGAAGAAGAGTGATGACTGTATTTTGCAGTAGTGTGTATGTATGCCCAGTATGCAGCCTCTGTTTTAGTCACTATTAAAGATAAGGTGGTTTGTATGGCATGACATAATACAAGACAAGTTGCCAGTCAGTAACCATCATCATGCATATGAAGTATAAGCGTTCACTGGCTGGGATTGTACAAGATGTTGTTTTCTTTGTACTGGAAGTACCAAAATATCTGTGGTCTGGTGAACCCCAGTGAGTGACTTTGTAACAATATACACTACTGTTCAAAAGTTTGGGTTCAGAACTTTTTTTCATTGTTTTTTTTGAAAAAAAATAATACTTTTATTCAGCAAGGACATTAAATTGATAAAAAAAAAAGTGATAGTAGAAACTTTCTATTTTTAATAAATGCTGTTCTTTTTAACTTTTTATTCCAACATGGATAATAAATCAGCACATTAAAATGATTTCTGAAGGATCATGTGACTCTGAGGACTGGAATAATGGCTGATGAAAATTCAGGTTTACATCACAGAAATAAATTATATTTTAAAGTATATTGAAATATGTTATTTTAAACTGCAATAATATTTCACAATATCTTTTTTTTTTCAGTATTTTTGATCAAATAAATGCAGCCAGGATGACCGTAAGAATATTCTTTTAAAAACATTAAAACTCTAAATGATCCTAAACGTTTGAACAGCAGTAAAATTCCTTTATATTAAATAATGATATATTAATATTGCCTGTAAATACATATAAATGTAACTCCATGGCAGCTACAAACTGCTGGGAAACAGCAATCTAGTGTGAAACATCTATTTATAATTTTTACACAATTCGAACTGATGCTTGTGGTAACACATTTAATTTAGTACAATTCCTTGGTTTCTGTCACGCAACGTGTAGAGGAAGGGCACACGAAGACGAAGGTCATCTACACAAGAGTTTAATAGAATCCAAGAAGATGATAATCCATGAAGGCAAAGGGAACACGCAACAAAATAACATCAATACTGGACAAACTAAAGGAGAAACAGAGGAACTTAAATACACAGACCAAATGAGGATAATTAACTAACACAGGTGAACTAAATGAACTAATCAAAGGACGACAGAAACTATGTCAGTGAACTCTAATGAAAACAAACTAACAGTCCATTATTGTGGCAGTACTCCCACCCTCCCGGAAGACACAACCTTGTGCTGTAGAAGGAGGGAGGGAAGAAGGGAGGGGGTTTGGGAGGAGGACGAGGCGGTGGCAAAGGGCAGGGAGGAATGCAGGCAGATGACCAGGGTGGTGTTGACGGAGGGAGGAGCCAGGGAGAAGACAGGAGGGAGCAGGAGGAGCCAGGGCGGATCAGACCGAGGGAGGAGCCAGGGAGAAGACAGGAGGGAGCAGGAGGAGCCAGGGCGGATCAGACCGAGGGAGGAGCCAGGGAGAAGACAGGAGGGAGCAGGAGGAGCCAGGGCGGATCAGACGGAGGGAGGAGCCAGGGAGAAGACAGGAGGGAGCAGGAGGAGCCAGGGCGGATCAGACAGAGGGATGAGCCAGGGAGAAGACAGGGGGGAGCAGGAGGAGCCAGGGCGGATCAGACGGAGGGAGGAGC